GTAGGAGGGTGGCGCAAACTGATCTGTGCATTTGTCCTTGATGATGAAAACTTACGCTATGACATGATCATTGGTCAGGACTGGTTAAAGAGGTATAACGCACAGCCCGACTGGCCGACGCACTCCTGGTTCTTGACGGATCCACATACGTGCCAAGTTGTGCAACTCTTCACTGCGACTGTCCCCGCACCCGAGCACTCTACTTGCAGCTCTAGCCGGCAACCCCTACATGCCTCTTGTACATTGTCACAGCAACCTCCAAACCCGCAATGGTCTCCCCTCGTCGCCGCCCCACTTGACCTCTATGTCTTGGAGGATTACATCGAGGAGAAGCCATTCACGGTCTTCCCTGACTGTGTAAAGGAGAAGCGCAATATGAAGGTGAAGTGGAAGTCTTTCGGGGAACGGCTTTGCGAGCGCGCAAAGAAAAGGTTTCCTCGGTTGTTTCGTGAGCAGATGGGACTTCCACCGCCAGGACGTTGGACTCACGACATTAAAACAGGGGATGCTAAGCCACGCCGTGTCCCGGGTCGCCCCCTCTCACCACCAGAACATGAGGAGATGCGGAAGTTTGTTGATGAAGGTCTACGCGAAGGGATCATTGAACCGAGTACGTCTCCATGGTCGTCTCCACCGTTGCTCATACCGAAGAAGGATGGCACCTCACGTCCCTGCATAGACTTCCGTTATCTCCATGAAGTCACAGAGAAGGATGCTTACCCATTGCCGCGGATTGACGACTCTTATCAAGTACTTGCTGGTGCTTGTCACTTCACTGCACTCAACCTAATGAAAGGCTTTTGGCAAATTCCCTTGGCACCTTCGGCACGTGCAAAGACAGCCTTCACTTGTCATTACGGTCACTTTCAATTTCTTGTCATGCCATTTGGACTGACAAACGCACCAGCAACCTTCCAGGCATACATGAACAATGTCTTCTGTGATGCGCTGGACAAGTTCATCATGGTCTATATGGATGACATCATCATCTTCTCGAAGACACCCCAGGAGCATGTACTGCATGTCGATTGGGTGCTCCGCCGTCTTGAAGATGAAGGTCTGGTCGTCTCAGCCAAGAAGTGTACATGGGCAGCTGAGGAGCTACTCTATCTAGGCCATATAGTCAATAGTGACGGAATCCGGGTGAATCCCGACAAGGTTCATGCAATCATCGAGTGGCCTCAGCCGACAAACATTACAGAGCTACGCGGTTTCCTAAACATCGCTGGATATTATCGCCGCTTTATCAAAGGCTTTGCAAAGCTTGCCGGAGCACTATACAACCTCTTGAAAGGTAACCCAAAGAAGCGATCACCGATCGAATGGTCACCCTTGTGCGAGCAGGCCTTTCTCTCCCTGAAGTCGTGACTTACCTCTGCCCCCTTGCTCAGCTACCTGAAGCCGTATCACACATTCGTCGTTGACACAGATGCTTCCGGCCATGCAATCGGAGATATCCTGCAGCAATCGCAGCAGGCTTTTAAGGAGGGGATGGAGGTAGGGGACCGGTTCTTGTTCAAAGAAGCAGACCTTCGTCCCGTGGCCTACGAGTCTCGTAGGATGTCCCCCACGGAACAGCGCTACTCTGTGCAGGAGCGCGAGATGCTTGCAATTGATCACTGTCTGCAGAAGTGGAGAGGATACGTCGAGGGCTCACCAATTATGGTACGCACGGACCATGAATCATTGAAGTACTTCCTGACCCAGAAGCATCTTGGCCGCTGTCTGGCTCGCTTTGCCAACCGGATCTCCCAGTTCAATGTCCAAATCCGTTATCGTCCCGGGAGTCACCAACTTGCCGCTGATGTTACGCGGAGCGTAACACCCTGCGCTAGCGCAAACCCTAACCCAAAGGTATAGGCTATAGGGCAAGGGGACGAGATAGAGTCTGAGGATGATC